TTTCAAGAATTGGTCAAACAGTATAGCTGATATATAATTCATGCAGGCAACCATATGAAAAGAAGATATCTCAAATTTGTTTTAGTTTAACCAATACAGCTTGTACAACTTCATCGAAATATTATATATGTTCAAACTGCTTGTGACACTCTTCGCCAACTCAAGCTTTTTATAACTTAGCTTGCACATCAGCAGGTAGAACTAGTTCCCCTTTAAATTAAGCCTCACATAACTGTAATCCGGATCTGCTGGAAAGACAGAAAGTACATTAACATGACTTTCGACCAGTTAGCTCACGGACGCGACGAAATCTTCTAGTCCTATTTTGAAGGCTAAGGTCTTGTAGCTGACGTGTTAAACCACAGTAGCCAGGGTCATATAAAACTCAAGTTGCAAAGAAAAAAGTATAAATATTAACAAAATCAACCTTTTTCTGTTTCAAAAGTCCTCAGTCTTCATGCACTGCTTTCGCAAAGTTTTGTAGAAAATTGCAAGGTTTCCCGGTTTGAGCAAGGTCCAACCGATGAATGCATAGTCAAATTGGCGCTGGTGGGAAGACCTCCAGCCCTGATTATGAAGTTAGCTCTTTATATTTCGGGGGTTCGATCAAATCCCCTTCACCACTCCGCCGATTTTCCAGCGGTAAAGTTTAAATATGGCGGAATCAGAAGAGGCCGTATGAAAATTATCACGCTGTTTTGAGCGTCAGAAAAGAGGTAAAATTAATCTTTCAGAAAGAAAGAGAAATAGAAATATTTGATTAATCATGTAAAGTGCATTTTATTGATTTCAGGCAAACGAAAATGAGCTTAAAGCTGCTCACAGACGCATGTGCATGTTAACATCAACCTGACAAACGGATCAAGATCCTGCGAAAAAGAAAGTAAGGTTTAAAAAAGCTTAGGCCCTTGGTGATCCTCAGGCAGTTAACAGAGTTATTACTGTAAGGTTTATAACCATAGCATTGCAAAAAACATAATTTTTCGTTCCCTAAAGGTGACAAGAGCAGATGTTAAAGTCCAACCATACGTCCTCACAACCAAGTCCCCATTTGTCGGCCACATGGGTTATAAATATCTCAGATGACAGGTCAGACCAGACTTTTACCTGTACATAATTATGTGTAATGTTGACTGTACATTCACCGCAGCCCAGTTTTTTTACATGTAGTTTTAATTTATGTTGTGTCTTTTTATTCATCCTCTGACAATTCATGTGGCATAATACACCCAAAGAAAATGACATGTTTTGTACTGTGACTGTATAATTTGGTACACAAACAAAATCAACTTTGTACTGTACCAACATCAATAGACAGCTACATGTGTATCACCCTGTTTGGTAAAAAAGTCAGTTTAACAAAAGAGTTGGTTTAACAAAATAATGTAACAACAACATATTTGTACTGAATTAAAGTGCCAATATAAAAGTGTACTACCCTTACTTGTCAGTTTTGTACAATACCAGTATTTTTTTTTGTACTGTACCAACATCAGCTTGTATGTTGAAGCAGTTTTAGTTTGAGAAATGTAAAAGCAGCAATTTTGATACCATACCAGTATTAATTTGTATGGTTTCTTGTCAATGCAGCCAATACCAAGGAAAAACTTTCCTTCACTGAATTGGACAGATGCCCATTAATGACTTCAGAAAAACTGATATTGGTTCCGTGCTAAATGAGGTTGCGAGGGTAGTAAAATTGTTACAAACGGTATTGGCTCGAGAGTGTACAGTTTTATTACTAGTATTACATAGTACTAGTATAGGTTCTGAATAGTTTTCTCAGTGTTCTTACCAAGATTGTTATCACCCTGGGGTCCACAGGACCCATAGAGAAGATAAAATGGTAGCCTACATAGCAGGCGTCGAAAGGGCAGGCTACTAAAATGGGGTCATGAGGGAGAAAAGCGGGTCACAATTTTTAAGACAGTTAATTCAACGTTTAACTCACTGATCTGAGTTTCAGGGTAAATACCTCATACTTTCATAGATAATCAGTGATTTTGTTACAAATATGTTATGGTGAGTCCTGGGACTCAATTTGTGAAAAGTCGTGAGTCCCAGTTCAAAAAACATACAATGAGTCCCTGGGTCTTTCGTAACCACATAGTTAATCCGAAGACGGACTCCAAAACTCTGTATTATCAGTTTACTGAAATATACTGTGTAAAAATATACTCCTTCTGCTGTAAAGCACAACAAAGACTAAAAGAAATAAGCGTCATTCAACAACAGCCACAGAAATCACACAAATGGAATATTCTACAGAAACACCTTCAGATCAATCAATCAATATTTGTGTCGTACGGATGCATACCATAAATTATTTTGCATCTTTGGGGATTTTTATATGTCGGGGACACAGCACGCAGATGTAAAAAATACAAAGTACAAAGTGATATTTTCTTTGTACTGAGCAATGTGAAGTGTAAAGTGATATTAGTACAGAACAAAATGATATTCATGTTGATATGCGCAATGTGAGGCTGGTACGGTCAGCTACGCGGGTGCAAAAACGATGTTCATGTGTTGTTGTACAGTGTGAAGCTGGTCCAGTCAAAAGTAAAATCAAAGTAAAATTTATGGAGAACCTGTGGCTAATTGTTTAGAAAATCCTCTTGCCCCCTCCCTTGAAAAATATCTTTGACCTCAGAGCTTCCATGCCACTCTATCTCCACCACAAATGAAAAATATGT